CATGTTAAACTTATATTAAAGTTTTTCTTCATTACCCATTTAAGCCGTCTCCAGCCATTATGATGTGCTATATGATATTCTCAGGTTCACTGATTTCTACTAATTGTAATCCTATAGGATCTGCAAGATAAACTATTTTTCAGATATAAATCTCAATTCTCTGACTGTGACTGAGTTGCGAGAAACAGAGTGAAAATAACTTTTACTTATTTCACAAAATGCAGACAATGTGAATGTATTCACAGAGGATAACACTTTCACTGGTAGTTGAGAGCTGTCAGAAAGCTCCGTGAAGATATATATATATATATACACATACAATTAGTAAAAAAATTAAATAATTAGAAATTAGGAATGGAAGCATCAGAAAGTAAGGAAACAAAGTAGGAATTGGGGGGGGGGGATAACATTAAAACACTTGTTGGTGTTTGACATGGTGCAACCTCAAAATGGGTTTGGCCATCGTTCCGCCCATTCCTACTTCTTGCGCTTTTTTAACTTGGTAATTGTTCAAACTAAATAAAAGGTGCATATATAGCTAAATTTCTTTGTTGTAAACTTTGTTTCAGCAATCAAGTACAGATGCATGTTTGTAATCAAATTACGTGACCCTAACGAAATGCATGACATCATAAGGGGGTATTTCATATCGGAAGTCAGACGGGAAGCTCCAATAGTCATACTTTGCTTATGGTAGACATTATAGCTATCTGACTGGTAAGGGGTGGGCCAACATAATAGTATCAAAACCACTGATTTTTGAAATTTTAAAATTTGTTGAGTATTTAGCAAGGATTAGCTCCTGATAAAATTCAATTCAATTGGATCAAAGTTCAAAGTAAAACACGAAGTAGGAATGGGTGTAAAGATGGCCACACCCACTTTGAGGTTGCACCATGTCAAAAACACCAAGAGTTGTAATGTTATCTCGCCCATTCCTACCTTGTTTCCTTACTTTTTGGTGTTCCCATTCTTACTTCCTAATTTATATTTATAAATATTTTACAGTTGTCTCGTAGCTTTTTTGGTACAAAGTCTCAAAGTAATTGTGCTTTAGGCCTATCCTTCTCGTAGCTTTTCTTGGTGCTAAGTCTCAATAGTGACTAGGTTCTAGGTCTATCCTTCTTATAGCTTCTCTAAGAGCTATCTCTTGACATTTCTTGTTTGCTTTTTTATATCTTTGCTATAGTGTTTCTTTCATCTAGCCAGGATGGCAGCCTTTTCTTGGGCTGGATTAATAATTAAGGATTGTTTCGCATATTCAGCATCACTGTTTCCAACTTTATCACTATTTTTACTGTAATACTCTCTTTCCTGAGACAAAGACTTTTCAAGGTTATCAACATAAGTTGTTTTTTTTTTCCTTTTCTTGTCTTGTTTCCTTGAAAGGCATATTTTTAAAATCTCACTGTTTCAAGTACAACCTTAGATTTCAATAGGTCACACTTAGTTTGAAAACAATGCAAAAGTAAATTATATAACTTATCATTCCTGTTTTTATGCCCAGAGCACTGGAGCAAAGCAGTGTCAAACTTCGGCCATGGTAGCGTAGGAAACTCACGTCTTAGGCAGCAACTGCTATGATATAATTGCTTTGTCCAACACAGAACCCTCGAGTAAGATGTATAGAACTGAAAACTTTGCTTTCTAAAGTTATATTATAGTTAAACCTCTATATCTGATAGAGCTGCAGGCTGATCATGTAGTGCATACACATAAGCAATCAAGCATCGACACATGATATGAGAGTGGTTTGTTACTTGGCAATTCCCAGAGTGTGCTCATAATCATAGAATATGTCTACTAGTGTATTGTTAGCTCGTTAGTAGTATTGAAAAATGTTTATAACTTGTTATTACGAAGGTTATAAGTAAAACGAAGAAAAACTATTTTAGCAAAGGTAGCGTAATTCAGTCATGTGCACTTAGATTTGTATTAGGTGAAGGCAGGGAAGAGCTATGTCTTTCCAACAACGTTAATCAGATAGTTAGATTGATAAATTTGTGTTTTTGTGAAATTTTTGTTTTTACACTGTTGACTTTCTCAAGTGCTTTGGTGGCTTATTTCTCATCAGTTGGTTTGTTTACTACTCAACATTGTATGTAAAGTGCATATAAAGTTATGTTTTCATACTGTTTGCAGTATGTTTGAGATTTTAATTTGTATTGCACATCTGGCCTATTCCCACTATTAGTGCTACCGTAATTATTATACACGCAGTTCTCAAATGCTATTATTATCAGAATACGTGCGCTACCTACATCAGTTTTGGTTATTCCAATTGAAAAATAAGGGAGGATGTACCACTTGGCCCGCCAGTGGAAAAGATTACTGCCTACATTCCTATAGTACATTCATCTTTATAAAATTATTTCCCACGAGGAAGCACAAGTGGTTCCATGGGTGAATAATCCAGTATAATAGATAATTAAAGTGAAGGGAAACTATCAACTTCCAAAGTTCTGTTGTTAAAACCAAATACACTTACATGCATGAAAATTTTGAAGAATTGTATGTCAACCTTAGGGTTAAATAAAGTCTTACCGGAATTCTGTATTGGCTTAGTAAAAAACGATGCGATTTAATTTTTTATCAGCGTTATAGGGATGTCATATCACACATATAATACTGCTGGATGTTTTGTATAATGAAACTGTCATCAACACAAGTTTTTGTTTTTACTTGTATTTTTATTAATACTTCAGTTAGTATGGTACTGGAGTAAGCATATCTGTAAGTGGCGATGTCTAGATGTAGATAGTATTAATTTCACTACTAAAAGTACTAATTGTATTATGCTTATTTTTACTTTGGTACGGTTTGTTTGAAGATATATAATGTAAGTTTTGATTATTTAGGTAATATATAGACTTGGTCTTTAAATGTTAAACTCAGAAAGTAGAAGTAAGATAATTGAAAACTCATAAATACACTTAACATCTGAGCGGAAATTGTAAATAATTGTAGTGTGGGTCTCGCGTTAGATATAGTCCCATGCACAATTTGCAGCTAAATAAGTCCTATTTTCTTAAAATATGATATTAATGAAATAATGTAAGCAGCACCTAGTGAGGAATACATTTACAAAAATAATACTCTTTTATACTCGAGTTGTTCATCTAAATTATTAAAAGTGAATGTATAGTCCTATTCCATTTATTGAACTAATGTTTCCTTTTGTTGCCATGGCAATGTTATCAGAAAGATTTACCCTAATATTTTTTGCAATGATTTTAGATAAGATTTTAAAATATGCCAAATAACTTTACTTGAGTTAGGAAAGATAGCATATAATTTATTTTTTGCACCTAAAATACAATGAATGGTGGCATTTAACGTACTTGCACAATTTCAGAATTATTAAAAGAAACGTTTGGAATTGCTGAAGTTACACAAGTGTGATACAAGTTCATAGTTTTGGATTGATTCTTACATATAGAATTCATCCCGTTCCTGTGCATCATATGCATATAAAATATATTCATGGTGATTACCAACATTAGCAATAAAGCAGGTGCATTCCACAGAAGTAAGTTATTAGGTTACAAATTGCCAAAAACCTTTTATATGTTTATTTATAGAATATCCATTTAGTGCTAGTACTCTTTTTCAGATGCAAAGCAGGTGAATTCCGCAGCCTACTTAGAAGTCAAATTATAGTAGACTGCATATTTTAATTTTTTAAGTTACTCGCCGTTATGGCCTAGGCTCAATAAAAATATTCCATATTTGTACTAACTTACCAACTTTCTTATAACTTCCATGTAAAAGTCCAATGGATATGGAATCATAAATTCAAGTAAAATGTTTGGGCACATTTTTTCAGTCTCTGCTAAACTCTAATAAAAGACAAATCTTCTGGCAGATGGCCCAACAAAACAATAGAACTTAACTGCTGTGTTTGTGATATGCAGGCATACTTCATATTATCTACCCCTAATTCAATATGAGTTTTCCAAAAATTTAGTACATTAGGTATATATAGTTCTAACTATAGAAGGTTGGGTAAGGAGGTAGCAAAGTTTCTTTTGTCTTAGTTACCTATTGAATTGGACCATTCAACTAGGGTATCATGAAAAATATTTATGTAAAGTGGAACATTCTATGTAGAGGTGGATATTGATCTTTTCCACTGGCAGATCAAGTGATATTTTACGGATACATCATTCTTTATTTTTCTAACTGAATGGCAAACAGTGATGTATGTAGTAGATGCATCCTTAGAGGTATGACATTATACACTTGTATATAGTGGGTATGCTATCTCACTTAACTCTCTCTCTAAAGGCTAGCAAGTAAAGTTTCAGTTCTTTCTTTAACTAGTAAAATACTTTCCTAAGTTTAGTAATTAAGTAATTCAGAGTTTACTATCTAATAAACATGCTGTCTTTTGGACTTGCCAATTTCGATAAAATTCACGTGTTGAATAAAGACTGTTTTCACTTTTTTACATTGTGTCTAGTCTCTTTCTTTTCTTTGAACTAGGTCGATGTAAAAAAAAAATCAGATTTACTTCGTAATACATTTCTCTCGAAATCTCCTGTTATTTTGTGGATCATACCTGATTACTCTAAGGTAGATAAGATCACCTG